GCGTGAAGGCTGAATTTGAAATCTTTGGATTAGACGCGGCCAAGGAACAACTCTGTGAAATTCCAGCCTCTTAATATGGGCCGTTCCCGAAAAAATTTTCAACCTTGTAGCTTTTATGTAAGCTCACCAAATTATCAGCCTTGTAGCTTTTATGGATTTCGAGATGAAAACTAGTTACAGACGCACACACAGACACACTTACACACATACATGCACAGACACACACAGACAACCCTTCAACAAATGCGTTTTTGCATTGCGTAGCTGCAAAAAACGCATTAAAAAACTGCAACGTTGAAATTTTAAAGAGACATCTTCTCATCCTTGTACTACTACTTCATTTAAATACAGTCCTCGGAAACGCATGGTAGGCACGTGCGAGCACGTAAGAACTTTTGCGGGGAAACTGCTCACTGAGCAGCAAGGCCATTTTCAGTGATGAACAGTTGTTCAGCGGAAATTCTTAATTTTCCTGTACGCAAATTTTACGATGATTTACGCTAAGAAGTGCACAAGCTAGATTTAAAGCAACAACCACCCATATGGATTACGACCCCAAATTTAGTGCAATAACGTGTAACAGCACCCGCAAGCTAGGTGTGTTCCAGCCTGAGCTTGTTTTGAACTCTATAAATAGTACCTCCGGTTTCTATTTTCAGCTCATTCGGCAGCAATTTATCCACCACAATACTGCTATTTTCGATTACTGAAATACTGTGGTTGTTATCGTTATCATCATTGTTAATGTTGCTGTTATTGTTACTATCAGTGATATCAATAGTGCCGCCAGTGTCCATGTTATTGGCGGCTGTTGGCTGCAGCAGTGGCGATACATCGCTGGCTGTGTCTTCGATGTTCGGTGTTGTTTCGGATCGTTCGTTCCATGCATGTGCCGGACTAGCTTCCATCTTTTCACTGTTCCGCAATCATTACATGTATAATTGCCTGAAAGAATTTGAGTTGTCATAAACTTCGTTAAGTTCATTCCAGTCTGGCCAAGCACTGGTCATGTCTACTGACCAGCGGATTGGTGATGTCCAAAGCGCCCAGCGGTTTTTGGCGCTTAACAGGATTGGGCCTTTACGATTTTATGATAAGTGAAATCTTTTGAATGGAATCGTTGAAAGGTTCTAATTTGTTGAATTCGTCACATTTTGTGACACAGGTGTAGGCCCACTTTCAGCGAATCGAAACAAAAAAACTGAAGCAAATCGGCGTACAAGGCCGTCTTTCCTGCTAACAGTTTTGGAATTTACCAGATACCCCCGCCCCTCCCCCCGCCAGACTTCTTTCTCCTTGCCTCCTTCAAAGTTACGCACCCATGTATGGCTCATAGCAAAACATCTGGTCATGAGAAAGGTGTCGGTGGGTGAGCGTGT